CCCCAAGCGCCTCCATCAGGTCTTCTCCCACTTGCAGATCTCACACACAATGGTGGGTCCTTGGCCCAGCCCTAATTAGTCCACCTCCTATCCTGGCAGGAACAATGGCCTTGCGCAACTGGCCCACACCCATTCCAGTTCTTACTGTTGGATGCTACAGCCCAGCCAAACCTGGTTCACCCCCAGACACAACTCTTGCATGGCTCAGCAAGAGCCAAGACCTAGCCCAGCCCATCCTAAATGCACCCTGGCTGTCATGAGCACCAGTGGGTATTGGAGTCTAGCCAGTCTGGTGCACCCCACACCCAGTCCACACCCATGCGGAGGGAGATTACAGTCATTTCCAGCCCAGATTGCCATCCCCATTCTGGCTTTCACACTCACCAGTAGGGGGCACCCCCTTATCTCCCCAGTAAGGCCTGTTCCCAGCCACAGATGTTGCATGTGCCAGTGGTTGCTCTGACCCAGTTTAGCATAACCCATCCCCATCTTGGACTTTGCCATTGGATGCTGCAGCCTGTCCTGTCTCAGCCCACCCCAATCCCAACTCTTGCTGGCAGGTGTTGAAACCTGACCCTGCTCAGTCTGCTTGCATCCCTGGTTCATGCAAACTGGTAGGTGCAATAGCCTACCTAGCCTGGCATGACCCACACTCCAGCATAGCTCCTGAATATGCCAGTGGGCTATAATTGGCCTGGGCCTGCCTGATCCACCCCCTCCAGAACCAATTCACACACTTGCCAAAGGGTGGTGCAACCTTGCCTGGCTTGACCAACACCCAGGCCTGAACCACATGCTGAGACATCATCATTCTTTCTCTCTCTCTCTTTTTTTTTTAAGATTTATTTATTTCTATTGCAAAGTCAGATATATATAGAGGAGGAGAGACAGAGAGAAATATCTTCCATCTGACAATTCACTCCCAAAGTGACTACAATAGCTGGAACTGTGTCAATCTGAAGCCAGGAGCCAGGAGCTCTTCCGCGTCTCCCATGTGAGTGCAGGATCTCAAGGCTTTGGGCCATCATCAACTGCTTTCCCAGGCCACAAGCAGGGAGCTGGATGGCAAGCGGGGCTGCCAGGATTAGAACTGGTACCCATAGGGGATCCTGGTGCGTTCAAGGCGAGGACTTTAGCTGCTAGGCCACAGTGCTGGACCCTTGAGACATCATTCTTAGTGTATAACCAACCATATTAGTATTTTGTTTATGTTGGTTTTGTGGGTTACACTTTGCTAAATTGGCATATTAGTTCTAACAACTCTTTAGAGAATTGCTGAGGGTTTTCAGTGTACAACGTCATAGCAACATGTTTTGTTTCTCCTTCTGGTTTTCAGAATCTCCATGTGGTTTGTAGCTTCCATAACTCCTTTATGGAAGCTTGTCCACAGTCTTTTGGAAACTGTTCTGAAGCTTCTTCCCAGCTGAGATGCAGACCTTCTATATTCAACCATCATGATCTTTGCCCCCCACCCGTCCCTACACTGACACTCAAACACTACACTTTATTTAGTCCTAGATATGCTACACAGAGCAATCCTGTAGGGTTGGTTGTTACTCAGATCCAACTGAAGTATTAATAACAACAAATTCCTTTGACAACCAGAGAGTGAATATCTATGTATAGGATCATTTCTTTCCCTTTTGAAGAAAGATTTATTTATTTGAAAGTCAGAGTTACAGAAGGAAAAGTAGACACGGAGACCTTTCATCCTCTGGTTCACTCCCCAGATGGTCTTAGTGGCTGGAGGTGGGCCAGCCAGAAACCTGGAGCTTCTTCTGCATCTGCCACATGGGTAGGAGGGACCCAATTACTTGGACCAGATCTCATTGTTTTTCCTTGGCCATTAGCCGGGAGCTGGATCAGAGCGCAGAAGCTGGGACACAATTCCCCATCCATATGGGCTGTGCTTTATGCCCACACTGCCATCCACTATGTTGAAGGCCATTTCTGACTAGACAAAAGCTAAGCCTAGAAATGGGCACTTCATGATGGAGCATATGTTGAATTATGTTGAAGAATACAGAATCTTGGGCAGATCTTTTTTTTTTTCTCTCTCTCTCTCTTTTTTTTTTTTAGCTTGAAATTCTTTATCTCTGAAATGGGAGAATTGAAGTAAATAACTTTAACATCTCTACCTTATTTTGTGATTTTTTTTTTTTAGAAATAGTTGTATGCCAAATGCATTAGGATATAATATACCTGAGGGGAAAAAAAGGAATTTAGAGTCCAATAGATCATCATTTTTAACTACTATACTTCTAGTTAATAATTTCCTTATTGGAAGTCTTGATAATATCAAATATGTAGGGTTATTGGAAGATTGATAATAATTTATAAGAAAGTACTTGGCACTTTTAAATGTTCAACAAATGCAAGAATACAATTGCTATCCTTGTTGGGTCTGGAACTTATCAATCCAACAAATTAATCATTATAAGAAAATATTGAATGTAGTACTAAATATATAACCCAAGGCAGCTGCCAAAACTATTAAATTTAAAACATCCACTTCTGGGAATTTTAACTTGGGATCCTTCTAATAGAATAACAAATCAGAAGATGCTTTAGAATACACCATAATGTGGGGTGGACTTTTGATGCAGCAGCTGATGTTGCCCGGGACACTCCTATCTCATGCTGTGATGCCTGGTTCCAGTTCCTCTCCTCTGCTTTCCAAGACTGGCTTCTGCCTAATGCATACCCTGGGAGGCAGGAAGTAGTGGCTCAAAGACTTGGGTTCCTGCCTCTTGCAGGCAAGACACATATTGAATTCTGGACTCATGGCTTTGGCATTTCGCATCTCTCACTGTTGCAGGCATTTGGGGAGTGAACCAGCAGATAGAAGAATTATCTGTTTCTTATTTATCTTTTTGTGTTTTCCACTGCCTTTGACTTTCAAATAAAAACATGAGCTATTAGTTAAAAAAACATATATCCTACTAAAATAAAAGTACCTATAACAAGTACATGATGCAAAGTTAACTTGCTTTGAAGATGTTATTACTATACTTATAAATATGTGTTGTTAAAGGAGTTAACTGCATATTAAATATTCAGAAATCATAAGCAGTAAAATTCCATGCTAAGAATTCCAGCTTAATACAATTCCTTTTATTTCTTATGGATATTTTATCTGAAAGGCAGTAATAGAGACATATACAGAGGTATAGGTCCCACCCTCTGGTTCACTCCCCAGGTGGTCTCAGTGGCCTGGGCTTGTTCAGAACTGGAACTCCATCCAGGTCTTGCACAGCAGTGTAAGGACCCAAGCATTCTGTAGGGGTCCAAGCATGTGGACATCTTCTGTTTTCTCAGGCAGAGAGCTATACTGGAAATGGAGCAGCTGGCATTCAAACAGGCACCAATTTGATGTTAGTATTGCAGGGTGCAGTCTGACTTGCACACCACAATGCAGCAGTGGCCCCAGTGAATGGGATTCTAATGCAGTTTGAAAAACTTGAGAACATTTATCATGCTTAAGAAAACATGAACACTTCTTTTTGCCTTAACATAACCTTATTGCTAGATTCGAATACAGATGATTACATTGTTGAAAAAAGACAATGTCAAACTAGAAGGCTAATAGTGTGGAGGGACGAGGAGCTTGTAAAGGACAAAGTATATTAGATTAGTTAATTACCTGATTTCTAGGAGTGGACTGGTGTTAGGTCTGGAGTTTATGCATGAATGAACTACAGCAATGGAGGGAACAGGTGTACATTTCTTGCTTTATGAAACTTTATTGGTGCAGAACAAATCTGGGATGCTGAGTGGGTAGATCATTTAATTTAGTTGAAAAATTTTCCCAGGTAAATGCATTCTAGTAATAGCAGAATCTAGGACATTTAAAATCTTGTAATGCTTTTTTCCCCTACAGGCAAAAACTTTAACAAAAAATTTAAATTAAAACATTCAAACAATGCAAATGATAGATGCATACTGGAAAATCCCTTTTATCTTCAAGAGTTAGCAACTGTTAATAGTTTGGTGGAAAATTTCCAAATTGTTCACATTTTTTGCTATTCAAAGGTGATGCAATGAAGAACACTCCAGTGCTTGAATTATCATGCACTTTTGCCTAGTAGTGAATTTTGTAGGTCAGAGAATATTCAGACGTTGGCCAGCATTAAATATCTACCAATAGTGCAATAAAGTTTTTATAATATTGTTCACATTTTATACTGATGTTACTTAGAACCTAAGTTTCAACCCTTTTCTAAAATATAATTTTAAACAAAATCTGAAGGGAAATCTACTGTGCATTTAGTGTTGTAAGGATAACATATATAGTATTTCTTCTGTTTCTTTCTGTTTTCCTTGACAGTTTTTTTAGGTAAAGGGATTCTCCCCTCCCTTCCCTGTCTCTCTTCTTATTTTCCCTCCTCCCATTTCCCCACATATTATCACTGTAGTATAGTTCTTTAGTTACAAGTTTAACATTCTTCTATTTAAGTGTATCATGGCATTATAGGTCTCGGCAAAGATAGAAAATCTAGTATCATATTGTCAAATTATGTATTTTCTGAAGATTTATTTATTTTTATTAGAAAGGCAGATCCACAGAGAGAAGGAAAGATGGAAAGATCTTCTATCCTGTTTCACTCCTCAAATGGCTGTAGCAGCCATCGCTGAGCCAATTCAAAGCCAGGAGCCAGGAGCTTCTTCTGGGTCTCCCACGTGTGCTGCTTTCCCAGGTCATAAGCAGGTAGCTGGATGTGAAGTGATGCAGCCAGGGCATGAACTGCCACCCACATGGAATGCCAGCACTTGAAGATGGAGAATTATTCTATTGAGTCACGGTACCAGCCCCTGTCAGGTTATATTTCACTGTTTCATTAGGAGATCCCTTTTATTCAAGAGTAGAGATGCATACTGCAACGTATCTTTACTTCCTGATATGCTAGTCTCCATTATAAAGTTCATGTATGTATAGTATTTCTTTTTCACCAGTTTTAACCTTTTGCTCTTCTCTCCTACTCTGCACCACACTTCTGTAGCTATCGAACTTCACTGAGATGCTGGCTATCGAAGACTTTATTTTGCTGGCCAGTGGAACAGAGTCAGTAGAAAATGGAACCTTCAAAATTCTGAATACACTGAAGAGCTTAGAACTCTGGAAAAATAAGTTACAACGGGTCCCCAGTGCTCTCCCAGCCACACTTGAAGTGTTAAAACTAAATGACAATTCCATAAATGTCCTACATGCATCAGATTTTGAAGGGCTAAAGAAATTGAGAATCCTTGAACTAAAAAACAACCTGCTCTCCTCCCTCTCCCCCAGCGCGCTAGCCTCGCTGGTCAGTTTGCAGAGCTTGATGGTGGACAGCAACCATGTGCAGTCTGTGGCTGGACCCTTGCCACTGCCCCACCTGAGACAACTAAGCCTGGAAAACAATCAACTGCATCTCATCCCAAACAACTTTTTCACATCCCTGCAGAGACTGCAGTATCTCAGTTTCAGTGGTAATTTCCTCGCTAGAATTCCTGTCAACCTACCCAAATCTTTGCGATTGTTGAAGATGGAGAGAAACCAGCTCAAAGTAGTCAGGTTTCAGGATTTGAAACAGTTAGGGAACCTTTTCCATCTTTACCTCTCAGAAAACTCACTCTCTTCCGTCAATGGGGCACAGCTCCTTGCTAATTTAATTACTCTTGAGTTGTACCAAAACCAGCTTCAAATGTTGCCCTTCGGGCTGCCAGCAAGCCTACAAAAACTTGATTGCAGCAATAATCTGATTCAGAAAGTCAGAGCCCAAGACTTCCAGGACCTGCGCGACCTGAAACACTTGTTTCTGGACAACAACGTTGTCAGTGTGTTTGAATCTGGAGCGCTTCAGGGATGCTCCCGGCTCTCCAGCCTCGCCCTGGAGCAGAACCTGCTGCTGTCCATTCCTCTGAGGTGAGTGAGCATTCTAACTGTGATTAGCTCGAACTGTTTCTGAGGTCTGGGACAATTCAGCTTATTATACAAGCAAGAATCCTCCAACAAGCATCAATGATCTGATCAAAGTCAGACTAGGGTTTAAGGGTAGAGGTATTCAACAAAGATCTGGAAACTCCAGCCGTTACATTGAATATTGTATTCGCTTAATTTATTTTGTCTATGAGGAAAGACACCAACAGGTTGTGTTTATGTGAATAAACATAATAGAAGATACTTTTAAAAGTGTGACCAAAGTATATGGCCCAGATAACCAATAGGCACACTAGCCACTGGCAAAATAAGGCCAGCAGGGGGAAAATGGCTGAGGGGATGGTATAATGGTATAATGGTATAATGATATTTTTTTTAGAGCACTAAAGTAGTAGTACTAATGAGGGAAAATAAAATTTTACAATGTAATATATTTATTTTGAATTACTATTTATTGGGACGCCTCAGCTTCCCCTTGGTGCTGTAACCTTTAAAACGACTTCCACTGACCTGGCTTTTTTCTCTGCCTGCCAATGTGCATGAACAGGTGGCTCCATCTGTGTCTGTCTCACCTTTTGTTTTTGCTTTCCATTTGGTTTCTCTCTCTCTCACACACACACACAACCCTCACGCTATTTATTTATTCATATATCTCTCTCTTACAATGCCAAACCCTCTGTGCTTGTTCAACCTAGCTGCTCATAATCTATAACTAATGTAATGCTTATATTAATTAATCCTATTAAACTGTATTTCATGTTCTGCATTTTTAAAAAGATTCATTTATTTTTATTACAAAGTCAGATATACAGAGAGGAGGAGAGGCAGGGAGGAAGATCTTCTATCCAATGATTCATTCCCCAAGTGGCCATAACGGCCGGTGCTGTGCTGATCTGAAGCCAGGAGCCAGGAACCTCCTCCGGGTCTCCCACATGGGTGCAGGGTCCCAAGGCTTTGGGCCATCCTTGACTGCTTTCCCAGGCCACAAGCAGGGAGCTGAATGGGAAGCGGAGCTGCTGGGATTAGAACCGGCGCCCACATGGGATCCCAGCATATGAAAGGCTAAAACATTAGGCACTACACTACCCCACAACGGGCTCCATGTTCTACATTTTAAAGTAGATAAGTAAAATGAATAGAAGAATCAGGCATTACCATTCTCTTTAAAAAAGACACTATTATTATAAGGGTAGAACCTTTTTCTTTCAGCACTTTGTTGAAAACAAAAATAATTATTATGATGGCTTTTATTGTGGCTTTTTAATGATTTATTATGGCTTTTTATCAGAGAAAGGAACAATTTTTGCTGATATGTATGTATGTTCCTTTTCTCTTGGTTGGAAAATAAGTGTTTTATTGCATTAGTATGGCAATTGTAGCCAATGCAAAACATGAGAAAGTGATTTTTTTTCCAACTGAAGTTGGAATATTTAAATAATTTGAAATGAATTAATTTCTTATAGTGTAATATCCATGGACATACCATGAACTCAACTCAACGAGTAACTCCCCTGTGCCAGGAACTTCACTGGGCACTTGAGGTTCATTAATGTAATAAAGGAGATGAAACTTTCTGTTCTATACAGCTTAAATTCTAGCAGGAAAAGTCAGACAACAAACAGAACATTTAGCAAACTTTGTGGACTGCAGTTCGGTGCTACAATCAGGATGGGCAGGAAAACCAGGCAGGAGGGTAGATGATGGAGTGACAGTCTCTGATTTTGATTATGGAAAGCATAGTGACACTCACAAAAAGGTAAACTGAGTTAAAGGAGGTTAAGGACTTAGTCATGAAGCTATGGAGAAAAAAGTATTCTAGACAGAACAGCCAGTTAGGGCTCTCAGATGAGAGCAAGCCTGCACTGCCTCAGGATTCTTTTACTGCTATTCAAATAATTTCTCTGCCAAATACATCTCAGGCCTTATTTTCTTTTACTAAGTGGCCCTACCCCAAGGAGAAAAAAAAAATCGTGTATGGAAAAAAAACTCATAAAACAGGTTAGGGAGTACCTGTCAAATAAGGATGTGACCATTGGCTGTGGCAGCCATAGGCACAGCTGTGGAAGTGACCGTGGACTGTGGCAGCCATAGGCACAATTGTGGAAGTGACCGTGGGCAGTGACAGCACAGCTGTGGAAGTGACCGTGGGCTGTGGCAGTCATAGACGCAGCTGTAGAAGTGACAGTGGGCTGTGGCAACCATGGGTACAGCTGTGGAAGTGACCGTGGGCTGTGGCAACCATAGGCACAGCTGTGGACATGACCGTGGGCTGTGGCAGTCATAGACGCAGCTGTAGAAGTGACCATGGGCTGTGACAGCACAGCTGTGGAGGTCACCGTAGGCTGTGGCAGCCATAGGCGCAGCTGTGGACCTGGTGGATTTTTCTATTTGGATGACTTTTAGGAATCATTTGGTTAGGAATTCTACTAAGTTTAATGAGTGAAAAGGTGGCTTAATTTTTACTCTTTCTGGATATTTGTGCTTTTATAAGTGACTGCAGAGACCATAATGCATTTACCCCATGGAGTATAAAATGTAATCATAGCCACAGCTCTCAAATTTGTCTTCATATTAGAATTATCTGGACAAGTAGAAAAAGCATACCGATACCAATGAAATCTGCCTGAGGACTAAGCTGAGGCATCATTAATTTTTAAAAATGTATTTATTCCTTTGACAAGTTGAGTGACACAAAAGGAGAGAAAATGGGTCGTGCTCTTATTTGCTGCTTTAACCCCAAACGTCCACAGTGGCCCAAAGCAGGAGTCTGGAACATGAGAGTCTAAATATTTGTGCCAGCATTCCTTGTGCCAGGGTCTACTTTTGCAGGCAGCTGAAGCTGGGGGCCAGACTAGGATGCAGGCATCTTAACTGCTGGGTCAAATGCCTGTTCCTTTTGTAATTAGTAAATACTCCAACACAATCTCACTGTGCAGCTCTTCTTTTACTGCGAAGTGAGAATCTATAAGAGGTCCTCTGTGGTTTTCCTTTTATCAAAGTTTAAAGCAAAGTAATACCTATTCTCTGCATTTGAATTCTAAATTTTGATTTATGAGATTTAAATAGTAGGTCTGTTAATTGCATATTCATTTTATACTTAAAATCTACACAGTAAAGTTCCATTTTCTATAAATAAACAGAAGCAACCCGCTCCTATTATAAATAGTGTTTCAGAATTCCTCTCTGGCACCATGTCATTCCATGCTACATTTTATCAAGAAATTGATTTATATAGTTTCAGATACACATAAATTCAAATACCTACATTTGTCACAATGCAGCTGTTGAGACAGAAGACTAATACTTAGCAGCTAGCATTGTGGCATAGTAAGGTAAGCCTCTGTCTGTAAAGCAGGCATCCTATATGGGTGCCAATTTGAGTCCTGCCTGGCTGACTTTCAGTCCTGCTCCTTGCTAATGCACCTGGAAAATCAGTCCAAGATGGCCTCTGTGCTTGGGCTCCTGCATTCATGTGAGAAACCTGGAAGAAGCTACTGGCTCTGGGCCAGGCCATTGTAGCCATTTGGAGAGTTAAGCAGTGGATGGAAAAGCCTCTTTCTCTCTCCCTGTTTAACTTCTATGTGTGACTCTGGCTTTTAAATAAAAAAGTAAATAGTAAATCTTAAAAAAGAAAACGAATACCTAATATTTACTAACTGCTTACTAAAATCAAGAATGAATTTTTATTTGTAATTAATACCCCAAACAGCAATTATTTGAAGATTGGAATATTGTTTTGTCTCTCTTTTTTTAAAATATTTATTTGTTTATTTAAAAGTCAGAATTATAGAAAGAGAAGGATAGACACACACACATACAAAGAAAGAGCGAAAGAAAATCTTGAGTTAGGCCTCATCATTTGCTGTTCCACATTTTACTCATCTTTAGTGCAGTGAGAAAAATAAAATATGTTACATCGTCTTGCTGTCCATTCCTGTGGATAATTCAAATCCAGACTAGCCTTCTACGGCCTCACACAGTCACTTAGCATTTTATCTTATATGGAAGTGCCATCTACTGGCAAGATGGACGCAATGACCTCAAAGAAAAAAACATAGGAGAACATTTCTAGATACAGCTTGTCTTCAGATCAGGGCTATGTTTTCATATAAACCCAAGTTGTAATGATAGATTATTTCAAAATAAGTGGCTGCCAACATTTCCCAAAACCAGGATAATTAATGATTTTTTTCAGCATCATTTTGATTATAATTTTGACAGAAACAACAAAGAAAGGTACAAGCAAAGTGGCATAGCAGGTCAAGCCACACCTTGAGATGATTCAATGCCATGTCTGAATGCCAGTTCAAATCCCAGCCACTCTACTTCTGATTCGGCTTCTTGCTAATGCCCCCTGGGAGGCGGTAAGTTAAGGCTTAAGGGCTTGGGCCTCTGTCACCCACCTGAGAGACCGCAGTGGAATTCCAGCTTCTTTGTACAGAATCCCAGGCTTTGTACGGACCCAGACCTGGCTGTTCTGGATATAACAAGGAGAATGAATCAGGAGATGGAAATCATGCTTTCTCTCTCTCTCTCTCTGTGTTTCTGCTTTTCAAAAAGATGAAAGTAAATAACCATTCAAAAACAGATAACACTCCTATCAATAGGGACAATTTTTAGATATACAGACTAGAACAAAATAATTGTATTTGTTTAAAAGAAACCATGCCCCATCCCCACCCCTCCATAGAAAAGACAAATAAAGAAAGACAGAAATAAAGAAAGACAGGGCCCAGCATGATAGCGCAATGGTTAAAGTCCTCACTTTGCATGCACCAGAATCCCATATGGTCACCAGTTCTAATCCTGGCAGCCCTGCTTCCCATCCAGCTCCCTGCAGCTCCTCCCTGAGGATGGCCCAAGTCATTTGGACCGTGCACCCACATGGCAGACCCAGAAGAGCTCCTGGCTCCTGGGTTCGGATTGGCTCAGCTCCAGCCTTTGCACTCACTTGGGGAGTGAACCATCAGACAGAAGACCTTCCTCTCTATTTCTTCTCCTCTATGTATATCCACCTTTCCAACAATAATAATAATAATAAAAATCCTACAAAGAAAGAAAGAAAGAAAAGCAAAGAAGTGTGCCTTGCTCCTTTTCATTATTTATTTTTGTTTTGTGGTTCTGTGAGCTGAGCACTTTCACCTATGAGGTAGAAAATCAGAAGCTTTAAGCAACAGACCTGCTCAGCTAAAGCTGTGACAGGTTTTGTCTTAGCACTTAACATGCTGCTTTGTGACACCGGTGCCCTATTTGGAATGCCTGGGTTTGAGTCCCAGCTCTGCTTCCCGCAACTGTGCCCCTTGGGAGGCAAGCAGATAAGTTAAATATCTGGGTCCCTGTTACCTATGTGGGAGACCCAAATGTAGCGTCGGTTTTAGCCTGGCCTTCCCTCAGCAGTTATGGGCACTTAGGGAGTAAACCAGTGGGTTGAAGGTCTTTTCCTCTCTGTCTCTCTGCTTTTCAAATAAAATGAAAATAAGTAAATGAACCTTTTAAGACTAACTTACCTAATGCTGCATACTGGTGAATGGCATAGCCTGAGTCACAATGCTATTCTTCACAAGTAGGGGATATTTGAAATAAAATTCATGTAAAAATGATACTATAACAAAAAAGCAACAAATTGTCATGAAATGTGCTTATTGTTATTTGCCCTCCTTGTTTCCTATAGCAGTCACATCACTGGGACTGCATTAGCCAGTGCCACAGGATGCTGAGATGTGCCTTGCATATTCGCCCGTGAGAGGAACATCCAGTGGAATTCCAGTGTAAAGGGCTTTTTTCCCTCTGTGTCCTTTCAACTTCTCATGTGTCATAAAAAAAAGCACTTACTACAAAGTTGCTGTTAATCACAAGGTTTTTCAGTTTTCCCGTTGGGATATTTTCTGTGTTTTGCCAGGGAAAGAGGCTGTGAGATGGTCTAGTCTGCTTGCCTTTTGTTTTTCTTTTCAATTTTTAATTAGAATGTAATATTTGTAGTGATTCTTTTGCATTTTTTATTAATAGGCAAAGCATGCCATTTTCAAACTGATATCCATATCCTTTATTTTAAAAAGAGCTTGTTTTCTTTCTACTATAAAATAATAATTATTCAAAGAAATTTAGCATGCTAAAAAATGAAAGTCATTCATATTTACTGATCTGGAGCCCTTGTCTAAGGATAGCACAAAATTTGTTTTATATGTTTGGAATCACTTGATTTTTTTTCCATTTAACATTAAAAGGTTTTGCTGCTTCTTTTTTTTTTTAAGATGTATTAATTTTTTATTGTAAAGTCAGATATACAGAGAGGAGGAGAGACAGAGAGGAAGATCTTCCATTTGTTGACTCACTCCCAAAGTGACTGCAATGGCCGGAGTTGTGCTGATCCGAAGCCAGAAGCCTGGAGCTTTTCCAGGTCTCCCATGTGGGTGCACAGTCCCAAGGCTTTGGGCCGTCCTCAACTGCCCTCCCAGGCCACAAACAGGGGGCTGGATGGGAAGTGGAGCTGCCGGGATCAGAACCTGCGCCCATATGAGATCCTGGCACATTCAAAGCGAGGACTTTAGCCACTAGGCCACCGTGCCGGGCCCCATTGTGTACTTCTGTATGAGGGGAGTGAACCAATATTGGAAGTTCTTTCTCATAGCTGTCTCTTCCTATTACTCTGCCTTGAAAATAAGTAAATGAATCTTTAAAAGTATATATATGTATTGCTAAGACATAGGATTTTGATCTGTTGTGTAGATGATAAGTGCATCTCTCTGTGGTTTTAATTTTTACTTATTTACTTATTTAATTTTTACTTTTACTTTTTTAATTTTTACTTATTTATTGTGAATAGAATCGAAGTCTGTTTCATGCATTGTTTTAAATTTTTCTATCAGTTTCTGAAGATTTCTTTTAGTATCAGGAGATTAACTTTTTGTCTCTGACATAGATACTCACCTCTCAATTTGTTATCTGTATTTTTTAAAAGGCCTATTTCTTTATTTGAAAGACAGCATTATAGTGAGAAAGAGAGAGGCAGAGGGGGAGAGAGAGAGAGAGAGACCTTCTGTCCTCTTGTTCACTCACATAAATGGCCACAGAGCTGGAGCTGAGGCCATCTGAAGCCAGGAGGTGAGGGCTTCCCCCAGACCCCCCACATGAATGCAGGGGCCCTAGGACTCTAGCCGTCTTCTGCTGCCTTCCCAAGATACAAAGATGAAGTCAGACAGGAAGTGAAGCAGCCAGGACATGAGTGGCACCCATATGAGATACCAGCACTGCAGGTGGAGGGTTAGCTTGGTATGCCACCACACCAGCCCCATTTGTATTTTGACTTTGCATAAGTATTTTGCCAAACACAATTTTTGGAAGTTTTACCATTGTCAAGTAATAAAGCTTTTACACCTTCATGGGCCCAGCACGGTGGCCTAGCGGCTAAAGTCCTTGCCTTGAACGCACTGGGATCCCATGTGGGCACCGGTTCTGATCCCAGCAGCTCCACTTCCCATCCAGCTCCCTGCTTGTGGCCTGGGAAAGCAGTCAGGGATGGTCCAAGGCTTTGGGACCCTGCGCCAGCATGGGAGACCTGGAGAAGGTTCTTGGCTCCTGGCTTTGGATTGGCTCAGCTCCGGTTGTTGCGATCACTTCAGGAGTGAACCATCAGACAGAGGATCTTCCTCTCTGCCTTTCCTCTCTGTATATCTGACTTTGTAATGAAAATAAATAAATCTTTTTAACAAAGCGTTTATAGCTTCTGGATTTTTGAGTCATAGAAAATCTTTTTCATAGGATTCATATTTTTATTTTTATAATACTATAATAATTTATTATCTCAGAGTTTACAAATTAGTTTATGACATTAGTCATATCATTTTTTAAAGATTTGTTTTATTTATTTATTGGAAAATCAGAGTACCAGACAAAGAAAGAAAGAGAGGGAGAGACAGAGATCTTCCATCTGCTGCTTTACTTCATAAATGGTCACAAGAGCCAGGGCTGAGACAGGCTGAAGCCAGGAGCTTCTTCCAGGTCCCCCACATGAGTGCAGAGGCCCATGCACTTTGGCCATCCTCTACTGCTTTCCCAGGTGCATACGCAGGGAGCTGAATTGGAAGTGGAGCAGCCAGGACTTGGGCTGGTTATCTGTACAAGGTGCCCATATAGAATATCAGTACTGTAGGTGACATCTTAACCCACTATAACACTGCACCAGCCCCTCACCAGTAATTCTTACCACACTCCCAGCTATATTGTCAAAAATTATAAAACCAAACCCTGTTCAAATTTGATGCATTAAACTTCCATTTCATTGTATTGCCTTTTATTGTCCTAAAGACTACTCTTTCATTTTTAACTTTTACCTCTCCTGATGTTAAATTAAAACCTTTCCCAAGCCTAAAACTTGGAAGCTTAATGCCTTTCTTTACTCATTTGTTTGAAGGATTCTATGAAACAGATCCCCAAAAGTTAGAGGGTTGGATACTAAAGCATGTTTTGCAGCTTGAGACAGAACTGTGCAGAAGAGGTAGGTGCTGTTCACTGTGAGCCTGGTGGTTGTGGCGTGATGGCCAGGGCTTCCTCTCACTACCTCCTCCTTGCTTTTCAGGCTCCCGGGGACCTTAGCCAGGCTGGACCTAAAAGGCAATGCCATCCAGGATATTGCTGAGCCAGAGCTCAGGGATCTCAAGCTCCTTCAAGTACTAAACCTGAGAAACAATAAGATCTCCGCCCTAGACCACAAAGCATTGGAGAGTCTGCCTCGCCTCAGGCACCTGTACCTGGATGGAAATCCTTGGAATTGCACCTGCAGTCTCCTAAGAGCCAGGGAGGTCCTGAAGGCCAAGGGCACAGATGTGAGGGGAGGACAGTGCGTGGCCCCAGCTGAACGACAAGGGGAGAGCTGGATGTCATCTGTCAGAATCATGAGGGAATGTGAGTCTTACTTACACCTGGCAGAGAAAGGCCAAGGCGGCAGAGAGGAACCGAAAGCTGAAGACCCCTCCAGCATCATAATCAACATAGATGACGATGATGAAGATTATGAAATCGATTAAACATGAGCTTTGTTTACTGTTAGAAAGCATGTTCTAATAGTCAGTCTTGTAAGCAGAATTTATACTACAAGTTTATAAATGCTAGGCTGTCTTTTTTAAGTGTTTTAGGATTTTGTTGTTTTTGTGTTTTGTGAATGCAAAGGTGAGGGAGAAAAGTAGAAAGGAACAATGGTAAGGCAAAGTAGGATTTTTTTTTTCAAAAGCAATTTGTATGTTGTAATAACACCTAAACAAATGGTAATGTAAAATAAAATCGCCATATGGCTAGCTTTCTACAAGAAGAATAATTCATTTCATCAAATAAGCAGAAGGCCATTTTTTTGTACCTGGACCTGGTGCCAGAAGCTTGTTCTATAGCCTTTCTGCTGCAAGCAGAGAACACTGACCAGCTGACTTAATCACAAGAAAAACTTCTTGGAAGGAGTTGGAATCGTTTATAGAATCAAAGGACAAACTGGAAAGGATAGGGACAAGAAAGTGCTCCAGGCCCCTGCAGCTGGAACTCAGAAAGGAGAGCCCCTTGGTCTCCTTCAAACGTTTCTCTCTCTGCAGAATGAAACATCTCAGTGAGTGCTCCCCTCCTTTGCAGGGTCACAACTTCAGAGGGCTCAACTTGAGTCACATGTATGCCCCTTGGCTAAGGATGAAAGTCCTGTTTGACAATCTGTAAGAGTGTAAATTGGTCCCTTTAAAACCAGTGATGACCCTACTTTGCCCTTCTTGAAAAGTTATGCTTGAATTACATTGACTTTCCAGAGTTAGCCATAGCCCCTACAGTGCCTCCACTGTAACACTTGGACAGTTGCCTATCTGGAGCTACAGGAAGGGCTAAAGAATAATTTTTTTTTATCAATACATTTTTAACATCAGTTTGCTTATAAATACACTTTTTTTCTCTTTCATTTTTAGTATTGTTTACATAGTTGGGAGGGATGTATGCCCATGTGGACCTCTAATTAGGGTGAGGAGGGTCAGGTATGGAGGAAGGTGGGAATGACAAATGTTTCTGCTTCTTCATTTTATTCTCTGGTCTGCTGGGGGTGAGAGAAAGGACGAGGGAGGGGACCACCCCTAACTATCAAACTACATTCATACCTGAGGATAGAAAAGTCACTTGATGATGCCTTAGAGACCCCAGTGTGGAGAAAAAGGTTCCGAGGGTTTCACTTGAGTGGTTTTGATAGTTCTGAGACATTGTCAGCTTTGTTGCAGCAGAGTTGAGAAAAATCTTTCCAAGGTCTATTGGATGACTAAGTCTACCTTAGTGCATCCATAAACCCAGACATTTGTTGCAAAGCTTGGCCAGGAGAGTAGTCCAACCTGTTCTGCTTTTTATGCTCTGACCAGACACATGACATCCTCTGCTGGCTTAAATGAGCTGGCTATCATGGCCCCCTCATGCATCTGGGCATGCTGTTCTACTGCATAGGCATCGGCAACTGAGAAGACTCAGTCTTGATACATGCACTCCAAGGTCAGATCACATATCTTGTGATGTTCTGAGTCCAGCAATCTAGTTGGGGAGTCTCCCAAGCAACCTTACCTGGAGTGACCTCAGACTTGACTCATACATGCACCCATCTGCAGCCTTCTCAGTGCAGGGTTAGGTTTGATCTGTCACCTGCACCAGCCAGTGCACATACTAGTGGATACACCTGCCTGGTCAGTTCTGCCTCAGCTTTATAGTTCACATGAATTGACAGGTGCATGGCCCAGCCTAGCACAGCACAATCCTCATGCGTATCAACAAATGTCACAACCTATTCAGGGTAACCCCTTAAAAATCCCATAAGACCCATCCCCAACCCCAGTTGTTGCACATGCCAGCCTCTGCTGCATCCTAACCCAGTCCAACCCACATCCCATCCAGCACTCATGCATACCCACAATTGCTGCAGCATAGCTCAGTCTGATCTGCTCCTAGACCCAACCCTCATGTTTGCCAACAGGTACCACTGCTTTGTCCAGCCTGACTCGCCCCCAGTCCTGGTTCTTGTGTTCACCAGTGATAGGTGCAGCCTAGCAGCACCAGCTCTCACAAGCACCACTATATGCTGGAGCCCAACCCAGTTTGGCCCACCCCCAGACCCAGCCCACACACATGCCAACAGGTGCTGTAGCCTTCCCAGCCTGGTTTACCCACAGTCTTACACTCACCAGTGGGAGCTGCAGTCAACAAGGGATTCCCCAGAGTTCCCCTACCAGGTCTGTTCTCAGCCCTGGGTCTTGTGATACTAGTAGGTGCTTTGGCCCAGTCTAGCATTGTCCACATGCAATCTCAGCTCTCTCTTGCAGATATTGCAGCCTAGATCAGCCAGGTGCTGCCCACAACCTGTTCTGGCTTTCATGTTTGCTGACGAATACTAAGGCTTGACCCAATCCAGCCTGTCCCCAGACCAGGTCCTCACAAATGCTGACAAGTGCTTTAGACTTGCCTGGCCTGATCTACCACCGACCCTGACTCCCATGCTCCTTAGAGGGAGCTGCAGACTAATAGGGGAGTTCCCCCACATTTCCCTACCAAACCTGCTCGCAGCCATAGATCTCATGTGTGCTAGTGGCCTTGCTTGGCATGGTCTGCCCTTAGTTCCAGCCCTTGCATGCAGTGGCAGGTGCTACACCCTGGCCCCACCCAGCCTTCTCCCAGCCCCAGCCTCCACTAGTGTCAGGTAGGTTCCTGTCAAATGAGTTCTTTGGTCCCACCTGGCTCAGCCCACCACTGCCCCAGCTCTCTGCATAAATCAAAGGTTACTTCTGTAACACAAAGGCAAGCCTACAATTTCCCTACAGAATCACCCCCCAGATCTCATTGTTTTACATTTTGGTGGATGCTACAGCTCAGTCTGACATGACCATCCCCTGCTCTGACACTCATGGGCAGTTATGTGGCCTAGTCCAGCCAAAAATGTCACTCAGCTGCAGCTTTTGTGAGCACCAGTGGGCAGCAGGTGATGCTATTTAGCCCAGCCCAGGTTTCCCATATGGGGTGGGTATTTTGGCCTGAAACAGATATGTTCTGTTTGCCCACTCTAAACCACTTTGAATCAGCTCCATTGCCTACCTGCAAGTACAGTGGCCTGCTTGTGGAAGATCCTAGAAGCCATTCCTTCCCCATCAAATATGTCCTTAACTGATCATACTCCAATATGTCTCCAGAGCTGTTTCCAGACAATCTCCATTCCTGCATTTAGGGGCTGGGTTAGCATGTCCCAGCCTGAGTTCCCCACTGTCCCTGTTATCTGACTTTTGGGTTTTTGTAGATGTTATTTTTATCCTGCTTATAAGAAAAGAAAAAAGAAAGAAAGAAAAGGAGGAGGAGGGAGGAAGGAAGGAAGGAAGGAAAGGAGAAAGAAAAGAAAGAAAGAGAAAGAAAAAAGGAAGGAAGAAAAAAAGAAAAGAAAAGAAAAAAGAAAGAGTAATTACACAGGGACACTGTTATAGGTAGGACAAATTTGTCATTAACCAGGGCCAGAATGCCCACCAGCCACTGGCTGCTTTTCTCCCAGTAGTGTAATACATGCCTAGGTACCAGACAGCCTGGGCAGTTGCCTCCTGCTGCAACTGTAAACACACTTGAAGCCCTATCCAAATTTGTTTCTTTTCGAATTAGAAGTATTTATTTGTTGCAGTACTTTGTGAAGTTTTCCATCGAAATATCCCTAAGGACAGAGAAAGTACATACAAGAGATAGTAATAAGATCCGTATGAATGAGAAAGGATTTTACTAGAAAACACAATTTCTTGAGAACACGTTTTATCCAAAATTGTATGCAGATTTTGTGTTACTTTCTTAATGTCCGTAGTTTCTTTTTCCAAAATCTTCGAAAATTGACTGTCTATGGAAAAAACACCTACTTTTTTTTAAAAGATTCATTTATTTTTATTGGAAACGAAGATATACAGAGAGGAGGAGAGACAGAGAGGAAGATCTTCTGTCTGATGGTTCACTCCCGAAGTGACCGCAACAACCAGTGCTGAGCCAATCCAAAGCCAGGAGCCAGGAGCTCTTCCTGGTCTCCTACACGAGTGCAGGGTCCCAATGCTTCAGATTGGCCACAAGCAGGGAGTTGGATGGGAAGCAGGGCCACTGGGATTAGAACCGGCGACCATATGGGATCCTGGAGCATGCCAGGCGAGGACTTTAACTACTATGCTACTGTGCTGGGCCCAAAGGGACCTACTTATAATGTGGTTTCTCATACTCCCTGGTGTGGGGTCTCCCCCTCAGATTCCTCTAGTACCCTGTTGCCAGAGGGGATGAGCCTGCTGCCGGCCACCCAGCCTCCGAGAGACAGACAGACAGACAGACAGGGGTTCTGTCTAAGCAGTTCCGATTTATTGGGGAAATTCAGTTTCTTATATAGGGTAAGGGATAGCCTCAGGCCAGGAATTTCAGAAATTCCAGGGAGGGAAGGAACTTGGAGCCACTTACTAGGAGAATGATTGTGGAAGCCACCTCCCGTAGGTCAGGGGTAGGTGAGTGAAAAGGCCCTGGCCAATCAGTCTTTCTTTGAACCAACGTGGCCCCTGCCGTGGCTCACGCCCGGGGCTCTATCCTTGGCTGCCATCTTGCACGTCACGTGTAACCCAGTGACCTTGACTGTTAGTCGCCATCTTATTGACTTAGTGACCTCTTTGTCCCTGAGCCCCACACCCTAGCATGCTGACTCATATCTCAAGAATATGAAAAATGAACTTACATTTATATGAATTTCCTTACTACTGTTGGAGCCTGTCAGTGTGTTAGAGCAGCAGTTCTAAGAATAATGGTAAGACGGTATGTAATAATTCATACGCACTGAGGTTGCCTGCATGTGTATCATCAGAATTCACCAGCTGCTAGGGCCTTTTGCAGACCAAGGAGCTCAGCCTTACAGCAGCGAAGTAACAGTTTCACAGACACAGGAAAAGGCAGAGCTAGAACTTGATGGCACTTGGGTCCTTTTTTTTTTTTTTTCAGTCCAGTAATTCTGCTATAGCATTCAGAGTTTGGTATTTTT